CGATGACCTGCATGAGCTCATCGTCACCATGACCTGCATGAGCTGCATGAGCTCAGCCACAACATAGAAAAAGCAGCAAGAGCAGAACACGAATCGTTCCACCACATGAACACTTTTGTAAATGCTCATTAACTTCCTGAAAGCAAACGTTAGTAATGGGTGTGGCTGACGTGACGAGGCGCCCTTCCGTAAGGCACTCAAACCCCCGGATTCTCTGAGGAGCGGCTCATTGAACAGTTCGTACAGCTCCACCTGCGCACCGTGTCAACGTTGAAAAAATCTAAGTGTAAACTCTTTACTGGGATGAATAAAGGTTGTGAAAGTGAAATAAATAAATAAATATGTTAAAGACAGATATGTTACATCTTCATGCTCCACCTGTACTTTTAGGTCCATAACACACACACACACACACACACACACACACACGCGTGTGTGGGCAGGAGTTTGATAAGAAAAGTAGCCTTAATGCTACAGTAGTACCACGTCCGACCTGTGTGTGTCGCTGTCTGACCCAAACCAGAACAGAACAGAGAAGAAAAAAGGCAAACCAGTCGGACTCATTTCTTTCTGACCTTAACGAGTCAAAGTTCTGCCTGTAGCTAAAGAACTACAGCGTGAATGAGTTCCCACTTCCTCTGAGATGATAAAATAATAGTGACGGTGCTGCTATGAACACAGGATGATCACTTGTAATGTGAAGACAGTTAAAGAAGTGAGGTTGAGCAGGACACTGGGTTGGTGTCTGCTCACACTCCTTGTCTTCATGGGGCTTGCTAGGGAACGTGACGGCTCACGGAGCTCAGAGCTCAAATCACGTAGGACTAAACCCTCTGCACGTGCTGCTGCGGGGTGTGCCCGTCCTCCCTCAGCTCCTCTGTCCTGGTAAATCCACTGGTCCTCCCGTTCAGACCAGCGTGGGACTGGCTTATGGACGGGGACGACTGGCTCTTTCGAAGGTGACACTCCCAGCCGTCCAAGATCAGACCACCGAGCACGCTGGCCTCGATCTTCTCAAGGTCGTCCGTCTCGGCACGGATTCTAGTGTGCAGGAGGCTGATGTAGGTCTCGTAGCGAGTCTTCTGCTCAAAGACAGCACAGGAAGGAGAGGAGCGTTCACACACAGGGACCAAAGAAGGAACAATAAAGACGTTACTGGTAAAACGTGAGTCCTCATTGATTGACAGAATGATGAAGGTCATTCAGAATCATTGAGGTGAGTGTTAGTGTCTCCTGTTGGCTTCACAGGAGGAGCCAGACAAAGAAGAAGACCTGCAGAAAGCCTGTACCTCGTATGTGAGGTAGTGCTCTTTAAGCCGGTACTCCTCCCACTCACGGCTTTTTGGGTCGACGGAGGGCTGGTGCTTCCTGTGCTCCTCCAGCTCCACACTCATCTGCTTCAGCTTGCTCTCATGGCTCAGCAGCTGCGCCTCCTGCACCAATCACAGATCCAGCAAAACCAGCAACGTCTCAAGAGCAGCCAGTAAGAAGCGAGCGGAGACAAACGCAACACGACTGAACAAAACACGCCAAACTTATTTATAAGATCGTAACCACATATTGATTGTTCAATAGAAAATGTGTGTCATGTTTCTTTAATCTAAATATAAAGAGTGTGTGTGTGTGTGTGTGTGTGTGTGGTGCTGACCTGGTTGAGTCTCGTGGACGAGGACGGCAGGATGGGCCGACAGAATTTCTTCATGGATCCGATGGCGGCAGGAAAGGCGGGAGCGGAGAACAGCGCCGCCACCAGGTTTATCCTGAAGATCCAAGACATCATCTCCTCCTCGCTCCTGAACACACACCAGGTTTCATCCCAAACACTAAACATGTCCAGTAGGAAAATGCACTTGTTCTCGTTCACCACATGGACTGGAACACTAATAACATGCTCAGTTTAGGAAAATATGTGACAGAACTCAGAAAATGTTCGGTTTAAACTCATAAAGAAAATAAAAAATGTTACATAAATGAAAAATAAACCGCATTTCTTGACAATCAAACTTGATTGAACAAATTACAATCAAACTGTAACGGGACTCTTCTGCACAGCACTTTTATAATCCAAGAGCAAAAATATAGATATGAGACAATTGATCATTTATAAAGCAAGCAGTCACTTTTACTGATAGTTCAGTGCGTTCACCAGTGTTGTACTGCACCAGTTACGTTCACCAGTGTTGTACCGCACCAGTTACGTTCACCAGTGTTGTACCGCACCAGTTACGTTTACCAGTGTTGTACCGCACCAGTTACGTTCACCAGTGATGTACCGCACCAGTTACGTTCACCAGTGTTGTACCGCACCAGTTACGTTCACCAGTGATGTACCGCACCAGTTACGTTCACCAGTGTTGTACCGCACCAGTTACGTTCACCAGTGATGTACCGCACCAGTTACGTTCACCAGTGTTGTACCGCACCAGTTACGTTCACCAGTGTTGTACCGCACCAGTTACGTTCACCAGTGTTGTACCGCACCAGTTACGTTCACCAGTGTTGTACTGCACCAGTTACGTTCACCAGTGTTGTACTGCACCAGTTGCATTTACCAGTGTTGCACCAGTAGCCTGGGTATAAAACGTGCTGTGAGCAGCCGCGTCCTGTTCGACGGCCGTTCAAAGGAACTCACGGGGCCTGCAGCAGGAACACTCTCCAGTCAGAGGTTTTGAGCTTCAACACGTTGGCTCGTTTGCTGTAATCTGTGGCACACGTGGCCAAAGCGTGATGAACCCGCACTGCGTTCTTCAGGTCCACCTCGGAAATGTCGCAGTCTGGCTTGTACTCATCCTGTGCAGGTCAGAGGGAAACAGCATTAGAAGTGTGTGGATGTATGAAGATTGTCTAGAAGTTACAAACGTGTCAATATGAGGTGTTTGGAGGACCATGAGATTTATTATTGTTTACCACTGAAATCATTCAATATAACTCCTGTTTAATTCACTTAGATCAAATAAAAACTAAGTTGTTGGTTCAGATGTTGGTTTATATAGTGATGTATATTTAGTCATATTGTGAATCATCTGCATAACCTTGAAATTAAAAATCTGCAGAAAACATGATCCAATGAAAGCATGCATAAAGTGGAAAAACGTGACTCCATGATGGATCCTTGAGGAACACCACAAGCTGAAGAGAAATATGTGCCTGATAAAGAGAACTGAACAACTCAAGTAAAAACGCCATGAATCTCAACTTAGTCTCAAAATAATTTAAATTATTATGCAGTAACCTGCATTAAACCCTGTTCTGAGACCCACCTAAATGAAAATGGAGCTTTACTACACGTTTTATTAAAGCTGCTTCCGCTCCACAACGGACCAGGACATCAAATAAATAACATTATGTTATTTATTTGATGTCCTGTATGTTATTAACATACATTCTTTGACTAATTTACCATTTTAAAGCAAAGAGTAGAACATTTCTTTACTTAGTTTCTAACAGTGCTCATATGAGAATAAAGCAGTGGCGTCATTAGATGCAGCTCAGGGAGGACGAGGGCAGTGCAACTTCTCCACCAGCAGAGGGAGACAAACACACACAAGGACATCCTCCCTTCTGAGCACTTTCTATCTGAGTCCTTCTGAAGCACACACACACACACACACACACCACAGCAGTTCACAGCATCCACCGCGGCTGTCACTGCGGTGGTGGATGTGTTTCTATGGCAACAGAGCAGAGGATGAGATGTGGTACCTTCTGGAGATATAAAATCATCCCCTTCAAGACTGCGTAGAACTTCTTCCACCCTCGGCGACCCCTTGGGGCTGAAAGAGAAGCAGAGAAAGAAATGTCTTTGGTCCAGATAAGAATAAAAATGTGCAAGACTGCGTCTCTTGGTGTTTGAGCTTGTGCATGTGCACTCACTGCGTTTGCCATCCATGTCGGCGTGGCTCTTACGGGTCAGCACTCCGTGTTTGTAGGTGACCGCGTTTAACAGAATGGGAATGGCGATGAAAGGGTTACTGCCGTCCGTTACCCTGGCAACACGCTTACTCCCGCCCTCACACTGCTCCTCCACTAATTCTGACAGACTCTTCCTGAGCTCCTCCTCCTCACTGCGCACACACAAATACCCATTCAGATAATCCTGAGGAGCGTGTATTCAAGTGTACTTACTTCTGTCAAACTCACATAGTCCAAATACTTTTCCCTTTGACGAGAATAAAAGACATACTCACACTGCCCACTCGAGCTTTTCGTTCTTGATCGAGTTATACAAGACCTAAAGGGAGGAAAAGGACTCATGTAGTTTTTGTCTCATAAATAAATGAATTGCAGCTGTGAGTTTTATGGTACCTTCAGTAAATCTTTGGGAAAGTCTTTGCCGTTGTTGAGGCCATCAAGATTACTGATAAACTGCTGGCAGGACATCTTCTTCCCAATATTCTGAGGAGCAGACACAAAGAAATGAGTTCAGCATTATTATTGTTGTTTGTGAAGCTGAGAAGATGAACAGTTTTGTCTTCCGCAGCTTTAGATCTTTGCACAAAGATTTATGTGAAACAGCTGAGGGTGCAGTTTGTGAAGTGTCCACTGGGTGGAGACATGGCGCTGCAGGAGACCATCAATGGAGGTTTCACAAAACTTTAAACATTTATTATAGATTTTAAAGTTTAACACGTTTTTAACTGGGATTATCTTAGATCTTTAGAGAAAATAAACAACTATTATTTACTACTATTTACACTTTGTGTCTGACTCAAACTGATAACCTGAAAAATAGAGATCAAATAATGAACTTGTTTTACGTCATATTTTCTTTCAGGCGGTATAAGACAAGACAACCTAACTGTATGTATTTATTTATTTTATATAAAAGTTTATATGAAGAATTTTAGGCTTTGCTTACTGCTCATATCCATAAAAATGTAAATCTGTTTTATTCACTACAGTAATTTAACTGTGAAACCATGTAGTGTATATACTTTATAAAGTACTACTTAACTACAAAACTGTAACAAAGTATTTAAGATAAAGTTGATAATGTTTGTGTTTTTTCATAAAATAAATTGCATTTTACATGGCTTTACAGTGTAGCTTTGTTCCATTTTTGTTTCATGTCTTCTATGTCCTTTCCATTGTAATGGTTTTTATATGATTGTCTTGTGCTGCTCATCTGCTCTTTGTCAGACCAGGTCTCTGTTGTAAGCGAGTCCTCCAGACTCAGTGACACTCACCTGTACAAATAAACTCTGTTTAGTCTTTATTTATTGAAAATAACTGTTTAAAGCAAAACAGAGACTTTTTATTGCTTCTGCTCATCGCTGGAGGTGAGAGTTCAATAATGTTTTGTGTTAGCAAAATGTCTCATAGACCAGTGGACAGATGTGACGTCCTCAGACAGTTCTGGCTGGATGGACATCTACAGCTGAGTCACTGTTACAGTATATTCAATTTAAGATGGCTGCCACAGCTAAGAGGCCATGGTAAATTAAAAAAACTGTAAGTCAATCAATGTGACAGATTTTGAGCTAAACTTTAGTGTGGCAGCAGCTGAGAGTTGTCCCCAACATGTACTCTGAGGACCAAACTGTGAGCGCAAGCAATGTGGCATTAGACCGAGTTTGAGCACAACGACTAAACTCCATCATCCCTCTCGCTCTGATGATCTGTGTTTAACACGCTGGCAGTGGGTAAGGAATAATCTGCTTTAAGAAGAGGATAGTAAATGGGAAGCGTCAGTAGGTAAATATACTCACCACCTGCAGGGGCGCACAGGGACCAGGGGACCAGTTACCGTTAGCAAGGGAAGGATTTGAAAAAGAGGGAAATGAATTAAAAGACAGAGGATATCAGTTATTAAAGGGGTCTCCGTGAAAACTTGGAGTAGAGAAGTAGGGCCTAGGAAGAGCAGAGCTCCTGCTTTAGACTGCAGAGCTGAGACCAGTCAAGAGGAGGAGACATAAGGAGGTCAGAAAGTAGGCCGAGAGGAGAGGGAGACAAAGTGCAGAAAAGACAGAGGAGGAGCAGGAAATGTGTAGAAACAAAGGAAGACGCGTTCCTGACACAGACTGTCTTTGTTCTCCAGTTAGAAGAAGAGAGAAGTGGTGAATGTGCAGAAGCACAGAGTACATACATGTCCATGGAGATCAGTGTTGAGCAGCATCAGGGCACACGTTAACGTGTGGGCTCCATCTGCAAAAAGGTGTCACTGGTTACTCACACCTCCAACATTACAACCTTTAGCTGACCTAAGCTTCACTAGTTTGTCTTGTAGTTCTCCGACATGTGGACTGAAGAAACAGCAGCATGCGCCTCAGTCGTGCTGCGCTCCGCTCCAAGAAGACAGAGCATTGAACAAGAAGGTCTTGGTTGACCTCAGTTGACCTCAGGCTGTTTCTGTAAGTTGTCCATGATTGTTCTGTCTGCGTGTGTTCAAAGAAGGGCTTGAAGTAATCAATTACAAATACTCACATTAGTGTAATTAAGTAGATTTTTTGGGTACTTGTACTTTTATGAGTATTCATTTCAAGTGTGTAATTGTACTTATACTTAAGCACAATTTAGACGATGTAATCTACTTTACTACTTTTAAAATCAGAAGTCGATACTGAGTACAGCCACCACTTGAATTAATATTCAAACTGTTCCTCTGCATCTCTGTAGCCAGTAAGAGGTCACCATCGCACCAGTTACCTATGACGTAATCAAAGGACAACTCCGTAGAGCAGAGTCATTTATGAACCCGGGGTTTGGATGAAAAGCCAAAGTGGAGACAGAGGACCACGCTGTGAAGGTAAAGGCTGAGGACGAGTGGACGTGAAGGTAAAGGCTGAG